CAGCGCGAAGGACACGGGTCCTGGGAGAACTGGGCCCCGGAGACTCAACGACGGGCCATGGGCGGCGTTAGACAGCGCTTCGGCGTGCAGGACTGACTCTGGGGAAGAAGGCCCCAGGGACCAGGACCCGCCTGCACCAGGAACCCGCATGCTGCGCAGCGGGGAGGAGGAGGGGGGGATGACGAAGGAGAAAAAAGGGGGAGCGAGGAGGGAGGACGAGGAGGGATGCTGCGAGGGGAAGAAGGTGGACGGATGCGGAGGCGAGCGTGCAGAAAACGTTCTGTCTGGCGGGGTAATCCAGCCCGGACCGCCACTCCCGCAGCGGGCCGAGCCGAAGCCGAGGAAGCTGGAAACCCTGTGAATGGCAAGAGATGCTCCAGGGATGTGGATCAGGGTGCGCATGACAAGGGTCGACCCAGGGAAACGCGAGGAAGGGCATCAACAACTAAATCGACCGGTGTGTGACCCAGCGCTGGCCATCGCTGTCGTACCCGCTATCGTCGTGACTCCCGCCGCCATCTCCACCAGAAAGGCCATGCTCATGAGCAGGAGAGCGCAGGCGGCCCACGCGACCAATGGACACGCCTAGATGACCACGAAGGGCGAATTGGACATTCATCTCCAGGACTCCCGGGTTGAGAAGAGCAGCGAAGGCTGCGTTGACTCCGTTGGCAACGTTTCCAATGTGTTTCTCCGTCAATGATCCGAAATTGTCCACAAGGCTTAAGGTCTGCACTGAGTGTTCAGCAACCGCCCTTTCCAGCTTGGCCAATGAGCAGCAAGCAGCTCCAGATCGTGCTTGTGGGACTCGACAAACAGGTCTGCAACCAACGGCTTGACCATTATTCAATGTGGAAGTGCACACCACCGCCATCAAATCACATACCGTACTTCGCCCTGATACGCAAGTTGTCCATGGGTTTACGCATGTATCGTGTGATGTGCGCCTCCGTCGTCAGCGGTAACTTGGCAACCTCAGAGCCGATGTGTGTTTTGGCCCCGGGAAGCTGTTGGCGCACCTCCATCCTCCAGCAGCCTGGCACACGAGCAGCGCAGCACGCCACCCATGGCCTCCAGCCTCGCAGAAACCAACGCCACCGCTTCCGCAGACGCAGGAGGCATCTATACACCACCCAACGTGCCAAGCTAGAACCACCCTGACCCTGGCATGGTGTATACGCCCTCCTGGCCGAGGCCAGGAGGCTCTATACACCATCCTAAGGCCCAGGATTGCCCTGCCCTGGCACGGTGGTGGTGTGCAGATGCCTTCGTCGGACGCACTGGGAGAGCGAACCTGCCGTCCGAGAGCAGACACGTCTTCGGCCCGGGCCGGCACCTCGGAGGCCACGGTCTGGGAGTACTCGCCGAAGGCCGCCTCTACTGAAGGGGCCCCAGGACACACAAATAAATACACACAAATGAAAGGATTCCCAATATCTTCAATATGTTCTGGGTTTCTGTCTTCCCCCCCCACTTCCCATATTTTTCCTATATTTTCCGGGGAGTCGACGATTAATTGTGCCTGTGTTTTGTTTTTCCCCTCCTGATCTACCTTGCCAGCGCGCTGCTGGCAATCCTCTATGCGGAGTGAAGCATCGCATTCCTGGACGTGTTCGCTCACGCGGGAGGCAAGCGCAAAGGCTTCAGCATCGCACCTCTTGTTGTCGGGTCCTCGGTAGATGCTCTCTGCATGTCAAGGGCGCCCTGAGAGTACACCAATAAACTGAAACATAGGTTCCCTTTTATGTTCAATCGCCGGGATGAAATTCTCATGCGTGTGGTTCGCGCTGCCAAGCTCCTGCGCGACCGCCCACAACTCTCAAAAATGGGCCGACACAGCCCAAGCCAAGGTATCCGTGGCAATTCCAGCGCCAAGACTGGAAATCACCAGGGGCAAGGCAAGCGGTGCCTTCGACTCCATGTATGATTCGACCGAACACGTCTTAGCGTCAGACGGGAAGAACCCAGGGGCACCCGAACGCATCGAGGTACGCAAAGCAGCCCGAACCCGCCACCGAGAGGAAACCACCCCAGAAGCCGAGCCACACGGATAAATGACATGGCGAGGGTGTCCAGCACGCCTTTGCCGCCGGCGAGCAGATACGTCTTGCTCCCATGGGGAAAGTATGACGAACCAGGGCATGGGCGCGCGACGGCCCGTGAACGCTACGCCCGTGCAAACACCAACGTTCCTGGTGATGTCGATGCTGGTGCAGCTGAGCAGGAAAAACGGCACGTTCATCATCGCGGACGTGCTCCGTGAGCTCAGGAGAATGATCCACCGTTTGCCAAAGAATGCGCACCTGCGCCGTCAGTGTACTGAACTTCCTCGGCGTCACCCGAACAAAAAGAAATCAAACATGAACCGATGCCTGGACCATGTAGCCGTCCAGAGAGAGCGAGAACAACGAAGCTCGCCCACCAGCATAAGAGAGACTTCAAACCACCATGCGCTCAGCTCGATGGAGCCAATTTGTTGGGGCAAGCAAGGAAAGAGGCTCGAGCCAACATGGCTGGGGAAGGTGGAGGGAGGAGGAAGAGGCGGTATGAGAAAGGAGGAAGGAGGGAGGGAGGAGAGAGGGGAGAGGGAGAAGTAAGGAGGGAGGAGGAGGCTAGAGGAAAGAGGGAGGAGAAAGTATGGATGAGGGAGGAGGAAAGGGGAGGAAGGAGGGACTCGAATCGAATCGAGCTCTGGGGAAGGAGGGAGGAGGGAGGGAGGGAGGGAGGAGGGGCTGGAGGCCAGGGGAGACGCACGGGAAGCGAGAGGGCAGGGCGATCCTCATCACCCTCCTCCTCCCTCCTCCCTCCTCTATCGTCCCTCCTCGTCCTTCCTCCTCCTCCTCCTCCTCCTCCTCCTCCTCCTCCTCCTCCTCCTCCTCCTCCTCCTCCTCCTCCTCCTCCTCCTCCTCCTCCTCTCTTCCTGGTTCTCGTCCTGTTCCCCCGCAGCCCTCGTCACGTCCTCCCTCCTCTCTCCGACTCGCTCCTCCCGCCTCGCCGCTCCTCCCTCCGCCCTGCGCCTCTCTCCTCCTCTCTCCCTCCTCCCTCCTCTCCCCCCGTCGCGCGTCTCCTCGAGATCCGTGGGCTCCCTCCAGGGGCTACGCGGAACCTCCTCCTCCTGCTCCTCCTCCTCCTCCTCCGCCTCTTTCCTCCTCAATACACCGATCCGGAAACCGTACGGAACATCTGGGCTCAGAAGGGCTCAGCTGTCGGATGCGTACGATGAGTCTGGCTCTACATGCGGGACGGAGGTGTTGGCATTCCACTCCTGGGATCCTGCCCTGGGCTCTGGTGTTCGACTTCGTCACGTCTCCCACTCAATGCAGACTGGTGGGCCTCGGAATCGGGGCAAGGCTCCCGGCGCACTCATATCGTTTCTTCCTTGGCAGCGTACCAAGGAGACGACTCAGAAGCTTTACAGACTGAGAACACTTCGATGACTCCCTCATTTGCTTCGAAGGGCAAGACAGTAGTTTGCTGCTCCAAGTTCCAATCGTTGCCTCCATCGTGGTTGAAACGTTCACGGGGTTCGGACTCAAAACAACAGACAAGCCTGGGAAATCCGCGTTTCTCTTCCAATGTCGTGGGCCGTCGTCTCGGTAAACTCGCAGATGTCTCCTGGGAGTGCACAGCACCATCCACGCCTACACGCACACAAATGAAAACCGTGGCGTTGCACCGCGTTCAACGAGACGTGGTGCGTACCCCTCGGCACCAAGCACGGCATGGCATCGTACACGGGTTCGGAGCTGGCTCATAGAGCCGACGGGTGCCTCGAAGCCTGGCGAGTCTTACGCGAAGGAGTTCTCGAGCACACGGCCATCGAACAGATTGTGACACTCACTGCTTGGTCTCGCCGGGTGTGCTCGGGCCGCCTCTGTCAGTCCAACACACGAGGATATCTGGCAGAAGCTCAGCACAGACAACCTCAAGACGGTCTGGTCAACTACTGTCTGACTATTGCACGCCTGCCGTGTCGGGGCGACGCGGCAGTGGACCATCAGTGTATCATGGCCGCAGTCGGCCGTCCTCCACTCTATGCGATACTACCTGCTCACAGGTTCTGCCTATTTGGCCGCCGACTTCTCACAGGACCTCCTCACGTTTGCGTTCTCATGCAGGCGGGTCTCAGTGAATATTGCAGGTCCTGAGAACATATGTTGATTAACGATCTCAGGTGGTTGAAGCTGCTTACTTCCAGGTTCCAATCCTGCCCCGACCCCAAAGATGACCTGGACTCTTGGAAACGTGGAGCCCGTCAATCTGCAACCTCGTGGTAACACACTACCCGTCTAACGCAGGAAGCTCGTGTGCGTTGTTTTTGCAACGAATCCCTTGCCAAGAACGCCGAGGCTGAGGTCTTCAAGATGCTCTAGTCTGCCTGGGTTCCCTGTGCATGTAACGACCTCCGACATCACCCTCGAGCTTCAGGGGATGAGAAGGTCACGGTGCACGAAGGTATGTGGTGCGCAGAAGCTTGACACATCAGAGGTCTATGAGCAAACATTCGCCACGCGAACCGCACACGTGTATATGCCATACGGCGCATGCAAAGTAATAAGCTCCAGTGCGTTCAGGGCGAAATGGGCCGCGCAGAGGTGGAACATAGTCACACGCCTGCGATGAGGAACTTACGTTTAGCGTGTCGTCCGCCTTGGTGCTTTGCCCGGGAGCAGAAGGAGAGAGGATGGAGCACGAGCAGGAACCGCAGCAGGAGGAGCGGGACGGGGCAGGCATGGACGGGAAGAGTGCGGAGGAGGAGGAGGAGGAGGAGAAGGATGTGGATGAGGATGAGGATGAGGATGATGATTATGATGATGAGGATGATGAAAATGACGATGATGCTCATGATGATGCTGCTGCTGATGATGATCAGGATGATGATCAGGATGATGAGGGGGAGGAGGGGGAATAATAATAAGAAACAGACGAATATGATGAGCGGCATGAGGAGGAACAGTGCATCGTGAACTGCGATGTGACGCAGAGAAGACGAGTGCCGCCTCCTCATGGCAGCGCGAGCCATCGTTGCCGCGCGCACCCTGATGCTGCAAACGTGCACGGGCTCGAGCCAGGCGGAGCGACCGACCTCTCACCCCCCCCCTCGGCACACACCGCCCAACCCTGAAGCACCCCCTGTGCCTCCCCCAGTTCGCCCGGCGCGCTGCACAGCTGATGGCCCAACTGCGCGCTGGCTGGCTCGTCATATCGGGAGCGGCCAAGAGGGGGACGTCCAAGAGGGGGGGGTGCAAATCATGGCCGGCGGCATGTGCGCGGCCCGGCGGGGGGGCCAGAGACGTCATGAAACAAGAAGGGGCGCCATGAGATCTGGGAAAATATCATGCCCCCCGCCACGATATCCCCCCCCCCCTAATCCTCACCCCCCTCTTTTCCGCCCCCGATCATAACTCGAGCCCCCAAACGGCCGCCCGGGACGCCTCCGTCACTTCCCCCGGGGGACGCGGTCGGCGGGGCCGCCGCCGGTGGAGAGCAGCCTCCCGAGGCTGGCACGCCGCGGAGAACCGACGAGAGAGCGCGCACATCGCGATCCCCCCAAAAACCTCGATACCTCCCCGCCCCCCTGGGGGGGCAACGATAAGGGGGGACTGACATAGGTGAACGGGCCCCAGAACACACAAATAAATACACGCAAATAAAAAGATTCCCCATATTTTCACTTCCCATGTTTTCCCATATTTTCTTGGGAATCGACGATTAATTCTGTCTGTGTGTTTTTTCCCCTCCTGAATAAGGGGGGGGGGGGACGTAGGGCTGGAATCGGCGACGCCTCGCCGACACACACCGGCGGATGGGCCACATATGGCAGCTCCCCACGCTCCTGGGGGGGGGCAACGATAAGGAGGGACTGACATACGAACGAACGAACGAACGAACGAAGCTGCCGTCGCCGGGAAGGGCCGGCGTCCCTGCAAGGGAGGCAGGCGCGCCTGTAGCGCGCTGGCCCTCTGAGAGGACCGGGAAACGTAGAGCTGGAATCGGCGCCGCCTCGCCGACCCACCGGCGATGGGCCACAGATAGCAGATCCCCACGTTCCTGGGCGGGGTGGGGCTGACGGGCCCCTTTCGTCGGCCAGGAGTGGACGAATCGGGGGCGCGCAAAGATGGATTAGCGATCCACGGATCTGGGTCGCGGTCGCCAGATGCATGGATCGGGGGAGGTGCCCTCCCCAAAGTGCGGCCGGTGGCGCCTCGCTCGCCGGCGGCAATCCGCGATTTCCCATGGAAACGGGGCCCGTCGCCAAACCACGCCCCCTTCATCCATGCTTGCGATCGCCTGAACGATTGGGGGTCGATGCATCCCCCCCCCATCTACCCATGCCCCCCTATTGGTGCGCCCGTTTTCCACCACCACCACCACCATCAGTTCTCCACCTCTTCCTCGTCCTCCTCCTCCTCGTCCTCCTCGTCCTCCTCCTCCTCCTCCTCGTCCTCCTCCTCCTCCTCGTCCTCCTCCTCCTCCTCCTCCTCCTCGTCCTCCTCCTCCTCCTCCTCCTCCTCGTCCTCCTCCTCCTCGTCCTCCGCCTCCTTCCCCCCTCCAACTTATGGTGGTGGTGGTGGTGGTGGAAAGCAGGCCCATCACCTATGGGTTGCAACCCCCCCTCACCACGCCCCAGGAGGCCGAGCCCCGCAGGCATCTCTCTTTTGCAGGCGGGGCGCCCAGACCCCGGGGGGTGCGGGGGAGGGGGGGGAGAGACCTCGGGAGGGTGGGGCAAGAGCAGGAGTAGGCAGAGCCCCCCTCCCTTCTCGTCCTCCTCCTCCTCCTCCTCCTCCTCCTCCTCCTCCTCCTTCCCATACGCCCCCCGTCTCGTCCTCTTCCTGTTTTCCTCCTCCTCCTCCTCCTCCTCCTCCTCTTCATGCATTCGAAATTGATAGTAAGGATGATCAACTTCCCATGGGTACCCTTGCATCCGTACATCTTCGGTCATCTTCGGTCCATCCTCAGCCACTCTCGATGGCCAGCCCCGCCCGAACAGCCTCTGCATTTGCGTTCAAGGTCCTTGCGTCCAGGGTCAGGCGGTCGTTCGAGGCTGGCGCTCCAGCGTGGGCGATTTCCCCCCCCCTCTCTCCAACCCCAGTCGCTGCGGCCTTTCGGCAGGTCTACCTCACCTGCCGTTTGCTGCCCAGCGAGCGATAGTGACCACGAGCTGCGCCAAGCGAGCCCAGAACCGCACGAGGACCATCCTGCTATCAGCGAGCAAGTCTGATATATGTTCACGTATGGGAGCGTATACTCGGTTGTGAGCGCTCGCCTGAACGCTCGCCTGAGCCCTGTACCTCGGTCGGCCTGCCTGGGAGTATGCGCCGTCGTCTTCAACGTCGCCGCCACCATCCCCATTCCCATCACCATCGCGGTCGTGACTGCTTGCATGCGCTGGAGCCCCAGCTGAAGAGCGCGTGGGCCAAACGCGACATATGCTCTGCCAACCCTGAAGGCCGTCGGGCGGCATAGATGTCTCACTCTCGCCTTGAAATTTGCTCCTTGGGCTGTGCACAGGAGCCGGGTGGGCAGCAGAGGAACGCAAGCAGGATAGCACGAGGCGGAGAGTAGGGGCGGGAGGAGGAAGATGAGACACACCAACAGCCTCAGCAGCAGCAGCAGACGAGGAGGGTGGGCGCACGTATGGCAGAAGTTCCAGGTGAGATCGGTCACACAAGCCGCGACCATTGGGAGCCCCCAAACCAGGTGGTGAGATATCAGGTGGTGACCTGGAATCCCCAAAAAGTCACCCCCGGGTTTTGGGACGCGGGCTCACCGCCGGGTCTTGTGACTCCTGGGCCCACCAGCGTTCGGGACATCCTCGAACAAGCGCATGAGTCCCCAGACCGGGTGGTGACACCAAATCGCCCGAGACTCACCGCCGGGTGCTGTCACCACCACGTTTGGGGATTACCAAGACCATCAGGAACTCAAAGCGCCCCGGTGCACGGACGACACTCGAAGCACAAACGCATGGAAAAACCCGAGCAACGGAGAGCCCCTTCCGAGCCCGGACCGTGCCTGCTCTCAGCGTCTTGGCTGCAGGGCCCCGGAGCTCAACCCACCGCGCAGAAGTGCTGTGCGGGCCGCCGAACAAAAACCGTAGTCAGGATACCGTTGTTTCACGGTCAGGGTCAATCTCGCGGAGGTGGGACCAGAAGAGCGGCCCAACATGTATTCCTGCCGAGGCCCTCGTCGCCGCTCGTGCTGGTGTGCCCGTTCCGCTCCACATGACGGAAAGGCCAAGGTTAGGTGTGCTTGGGCTTGGTACGCACAGGCTTCCCCCCCTAGCGGCGCTCAAGCGGCCTTGAGATAGCCCCAAGGCGGGGCAAAGACCGCCCAATGACAGTCCGAGGACGCACCAGAGACAGCCCAGGACCTGCCCAAGGCGGAGACGCCTTCAGGACCCTCCAAACTGCCCGACACACAGACGCCCGCAAGACCGTCCAAGATGACCCCAAGAGCCCCTCACAAGGAGCCCCAACCCCCGATGGGCTCATCGGAGGGCCGCGGCCGTAGATGCCACATGTCAAGGCCCTCTGGACAACCTGGAAATTCAGCATCACGTGCTCGAACGTCCCCGCCTTCGGGGAGGAAGGCACCACATGCTACGCCCACGGCCCACCATCTGTTGCGACTGCCTCGAGCCTGCAGACTGGCACGTCACACACTGCGGCCCATTTGATGCGCGTACTAGGATCTCTGCGTTAAACCTGTGATTCACGGTCTGGGCCATCGAGCTGTGGAAGCCCTCCCCAATGTCATTTAGCACAGACCGCCTTCTGGTCCTGGAGGGCAGGCAACGGCTCCCAGGCGCCCGAGTTGCTCAAGGACACGCGTCGCGAATCCTCCCGGTGGAGGCACTGGCCCAGGTCTCTCTCCGGCGGCCAGGCTTTCGGCCTAGACGGAGGGGGCTAACGCCGCCGCCGTCGGTTCTCCGCATGTGAAAAAAAGGACCCGCGGGGGCATCGAGCATGCGCCACGGTGCTCCGTTGGCAGTGCCATCGCACGTGTAGGCGCCAAGGGGGTGGTGTCGAGCGTGCGGGCGGGAGAGCCCCCACGCGCAGTAAGAGCACGCACGCTCGGCAGGCGTGCGCTCGGCGCGTGCCTGCACGCGTGCAGGGCCCCAGAGGGGGGGGCATCGACGATGCGGCCGGCGGGATTCATCACGCGTGCACAAAAACGCGCCCGAGGGCGGGAGGAGGGGGATCGAACATGCGCCTGGCACGCGGGCATCTGGCACATGTCTTCAAGCGTGTACGCGCCAAGGGGGGGGGACTGGGCGGGCGGACTCTCCTCACGTAAAAGGGACTACGCGCCCGAAGGGGGGATCGCACATGCGTCTGGCACGCGTCCATGCGGCACGGGTCCACCAGCGTGCAGGCGCGAAAGGAATGGCGTCGAACATGCGGCTGACGGGAGCGTCAAAGGTAGCGGCGGCGAGCGAGGGGGGGGAAGTGAGAAGGAGAAGGCCCTCTCAGAAGGCGGCGGGACTTCTCAGAAGCCCTCGCGCCTTCTGAGGAGTTTGCGCTGTTTTTTTTGGGGGGGGAAGGCTCAAACACTTTCCAAGAAGGCCCAGGGACTTCCGAGCCTTCTGAGAAGGCCTTCTCCTTCTCACTTGCCCCTCTGGGCTCGCCGCCGAAGGCAAGAATACGTACTCGAGGGGGGGGGGGGCATGCATGCGCCTGGTGCGCGTGCACTTGCCTCGTGGTCGCACGTGCGCGGGCGCGGGCGCGGCAGCCGACCGGTGGGCAGCGTGCGGCTTGCGCGGCGCTCCGCGTTGCCACCTCGGAAAGGAGAGGGACGAGGAGGAGCAGGAGGGAAGAGGCGGAAAAGAGAGCAGGATACGGATGGGGAGGAAGCAAGGCCAGGCACAGAACTCTGGCACCCCCTGTCTCTCCGTAACTACGGGACAAAATAGATCTGGATCAAGTGCTGCAGGAGCAAACATTCCGCATCAGAGGCCCTGATGAAGGGGAAACGCTTGGGTCGGGCATGTCCTCCTAGAGGCGGGCTTTGGAGGAAGCGTGAGAAAAAGGTCCACATATTCAAAGGTGGCTAAAACATGCAGAAGCATCGTCGCAAGTTTTTGTTGACTACTGTGGAACACTCCTCCCGTAGAGGGACCTGCCCGACTTTTGAGAGAGCGCGCACGAACCCAAGAGGAGACTAAAGGGGCCCTGGCCCAGGGCCCCTTTAGTCTCAGGTCCCCTGGGCCCTGAGACTAAAGGGACACACAAATAAATACGCACAGATAAGATGATGCCCCATAGTTTCCCACATTTTC